GCGACGCGAAAGTAAAAAAAAAAAAGGGGGGGGGGGGGTGGGGGGGGGGGGTCGAGTTCCACAGCGGCCGGTAAAGCGCTCTCAAATCCGCAAGCACCGTTTAGGAAAAGGCCTCCAAGTGTCCTGGGGCAGGGGGTCCCGGGGGTCGGGTGGGGAAGGGAGGGGGGCGGGGCTCCATCCCGCACACAAACGCTTAAAAGAAGATGAAAAGTACATTCAGACTGGTCGGGCGGTCACCGAAAAGCTTGTCCTTTTTGGGTGGTGTGCCCCGCCCCCCCGCCCCACCTTGGCCGCTGAAGCCTCCTTTTTCGTACGTGGGCCCCCGCCCGCCTCACCGCCTCTGCTGCGCGTAGACCGGGTAGGCGAGCGTCACATTCAGAGAGTCGTTGTGCTGCACCAGAGACGTGTGCTGGTAGTGGAGGACCAGTTCCTTGAGCGAGCCGTACAGGTTGTAGGGCTCGGCGAAACCGAAGCCCGACGACGTCTTGTTGATGACGCAGTGCTTCACCTCGCCGTCCACGCTGCGCACGGGGGGGGGGATTTCAATTTCACGTTAATGTCATTGAAGGGAGAGGAGAGACAAACAAACAAACGCTTCCTTCTCGGTTGCTGCGATACGTACACGACGCTGCAAGCGTAGCAGCCCGCCTTGCTGCTCTCGCGCACCAGGAATGTTCCGTCCCGCTTGCCCTGCAGGAGCGCCTCGGCCTGCAGCCGGTTGATGTTGCCCAGCTTCCACGAGCGCTCGTCGTGATGGGGCAGGTCTTCGTCGTCGTCCACCATCGAGTACTGACTGCCGGAACAAAGCAACAAAGCAATGAAGCGTGAGCGGGGGGGGGGGCGGCGGCGGGGCGAGCGGCATTTCTTGGCCGAGGCGCGGCGCTTACTCTTCCACGTTGTCGTTCTTGATTCCCAGCCACTCGTTGAGCTTCTTCTGCCGGACGCCCTTCTGGGTCAACCACCTGCATCCAACACACTTGGACGTTAGCCCCATCAGATGCAACGCTAACGCTAACCCGGCAGGCCTGAGCGAGCGTCGCCTCCATGTTGCCGTCATTTTTACAACAAACGGGGGCAGTAAAATCCGTCTCTCTTTGTAAGAGTAATAAACTCCATCAGAGATATTCAGCAACTTGTGGAGGCCTGAACTTTTGAGTTGCGATCGCGAGGACGACGTGACGACATCGTACCAAACACGAGGCGGCGTCAATCAGGTGACGTCGAGATTGCAAACAAATGATCCGACGGCCCCCTTACATGAGGTACTGGTCTCGGGTCTTGCGCAGCTGGATGAGGTCCGGCTTGATGCTGTTCATCCTCTTGTCGATTTCCCGGTAGTCAGCCGCTTGCTTCTTCAGGTCCTCCTCCAGGCGGCTCTTGCTGTCCACGATCTCGCTAATCCTGGACTTGAGTTTTTCGTAGTTGCCCACGATCCTGAAAGCACAAAGCGGCCCCGCTCAGTCGGGGCCTTGCGCCGTGCCCTTTCACGCAGGCTCCCGTTGGAAGTCGCGGCCGGACTCCAGCGTCCGCTAATGCTAACGCTAACGCCGGCGTACCTCTGGATCTCCTTGTCGTTGCCCTCCCTCCGGAACTTCTCGATGTACTCCTTGCTGTAGCGCTCCTGCGTTTGACACTGCTCCTCAAAGATCTTGATGGTTTCGTTGAAGGCCTCGATGGCGGTCCTCTTCATTTGGATTTCCTGGACGGAGGAGACGGCGCAGCGTTGAGGCGGCGGGCCCGCGGCTCAATGCCGATGCTCCGTACCTGCGAGGTTCTGGTGTACTCCTCGTACAGACGGTCGTACTCCTTGTTCTTCTCCTGGTACTGCTGGTGGTACTCGCACAGCTTCCTGCCCACGGCTTCGATGTTGTCCTCTTTCACCACCTGATCCTGAGCGCGTCGGCGTCAAAACGGCAACCGTCAAACCCCCCGCCGGCGGTCGGCGTAAGCGCCGGCCTAACATACCTGTTGGTGTTTGGAGACCGGGTAAAGCAGCTTGACGTCCAGCTTGGGGTTGTACTGCGCCAGGGACTCGTGCCGGTAGTGATTGATGAGCTCCACCACCGAGCTGAGGTGAGCGGGTCCGAGAAGCCGTACTTGCCGTCGCGGTGGAATATCTTGATGAGCTTGTTGTTGCCGCCTTTCCTGTGGAGCGCCGCCCCCCAAAAATTCCAAAATGACACGAGGAGCGAGCGAGGCGAACGGGAAGCGGGACCGGCCCAGAAAGGGGCGGCCGCTTACCTCAGCGTTAGCGTGTAGTCGCCGTGCATCTTGGTGGAAGCGTCGCGGACCAAAAAGGTACCGTCCGCCGTGTCCCGCAGCTTCTCGTTGACCTCCTCGCGGGAGATGTCCCCCCAGTACCATTCGGCGTCCTGGAGCGCCATGCTGTTGTTCTGAACGTTGTTAGGAACGGGAGCGGGCTTGGGCGGCTTCGGAGGTAGAGCTGAAGGGGGACGACACGCTCGCTCAGTGTCTCGGCGCGGAACCTCGCTTGGCGAGCTTCGTTTGGAACTGAAGCAACATCCCGAATACGAAGCCCATTTTCTCAACTGTATTTCTAGAGCGCCTGAAAACAACCGGCGCCGTCCGCAAAGCCTTCCGTGACCTCGCCAAGCCTGTCGGGGGAACCGAGGCCATGTTTCTTCAAAAACGCAGTTCCTAAGACCGGAGTTCCACCAAACGCTCCTCCTGAGGCGGCGCAACTCGATGGCGATTGACGAGGACGTCGGTGGATGGCGGACGGGCTAAGATCTCAATTCGGAAGAAGGAAATCCACTGAGAAAAGGTGCAGATGACGCCGCGGAGCCGTTCATGTTGTCATTGCCGGAACATTCCTGACCCGGGTCTCCTTTTTGGAGCGACGCGAGTGCGCTAGCGTGCGTGCGGCTCTCAGGCAACAGCTGGCGCGCGCGCGACAGCGATGGCGTGCGAGCCTTGGGAACATTGCGAACGGCGGGAATAATCTCAACTGGGCGACGGCGCCCCTCGCGCGTTGACAGTTTCACGGCTGGCGCTAAAGGTAGCGCGCTATGTTTAACCGGCCTTTGCGGTGGGAGGGGGGAAGAGCGGCGGGCGGCTTCCTGCTGCTGCGCGGAGCCAGCGTCCACGTTAACATTGACACGCCATTAAATGTGGGATTTTTTTTTTCTTTTTAAACAGCAACCCCGTGGTGGGGTACAACCTGGACTCGGTCGCCGGTCCATTCATAGCACCGGCACGCCGCTTTGACATCTTCCACGGCGCTAAAAGCCTCTCTGGCAAGATTTGCCCCCATCTACGTGCAGCTGAGTACACCTCGTACTGGACGCTCGTCAATTTGTACTGGCAGCCCTGCCACGTCTTCATACTGCGGCCCATCCATTTGATACCACTTCTCCCCGACAGGGTGCACCCCGAAGCGGTCGCCGCCACTCGCACGCCCCTTCTACGGAAACGCCCTGAAAGCCAGCTCCTTCATTTTCGACCGAGGACCGCAGGTCGAGTCCACCCGCCGACTGGCCGCCAGTCGCCACGCGAGCAGACTCTTTGGCATTTCTTTGCTAGCACGCCATGCCGGCCGGGCACAATGCACCCGGGACCGGTCGCCGGTCAATCATCCGCGCGAGCATTCGCACGGATCGCCATCAGAGGCACGCGCCGACGGATCCCGACACCGAAGCTCTCGCGCGCGCCGTCGGCCGCGTGCGCCACCTTGTAAAATGGCCACGCGGGGAGAAGAAAGGAGATCCTGCTCGGTAACGCGTTACATCACTCACCGCAGCCAATCAGGCGGGAGCTGTGTCACCGGGCGCCCTGGCATCCTTCATTTCCCGACGGCATGAAGTCATCGCAAAAAGTCCCTCCCCGTGTTCCCGCCTCGCTTTGATTGCCCGCCCCCGAGAAAACAAACCAAAAGAAAAAAAAGCACGGAAGAGGATCATTAAATGGCTCCTCAAATGTTCCGTCCGTGTTGCGGTGACGAGACCTCGCGTGCGTCCGACATCTCTCGTCCTCTGGCTGCCTCGCACTCTTCCTCCCTCGTCACCCCCTCCCTCTCTCTCGCTCTCTCACTCGCTCGCTCGGCCCCTCCCCTTCCGCGCTGTGGCCTGCACACAAAGCCGCCGAGCTAGCTGTGCCGCGGCAATGCACGTCCGCACGACGCGCTCAAATCCCCCCCCCCGCCCGCCTGCCCCGCACAAGTACGCTGGTAATCCCGCGGCGTGACATGGATAACCGCCTCCATTTCCTGAGCGCTGCTAAAATAGACGGCGCTTCTTGGAAAGGTGGAACAGCTCAGGCGGAATGCAGTCGGGTCGCACAAAGGCGAGCGCGCCGCGCTCAAATAAGCGTCTGAAAATGTGAGGCCGGGACGAGCGAACCTGCACCGTTTGCCTTGACAAACGGAACGTTCGTTCTCGGGCTGCGACTGACGATGACTTTGATCATCGAGTAATCCAGCCCTCATTTTGTCACGTCATCTGACAATAAAAAATTTGAAGAGCACACAAACACGTTTTCGATTCCGTTCCTGCTTTGGTCCGTAACATGTCGGAAATCGGGTACAAATCTTGATCTTTCTTTTTATTCAAAAAGAAAAGCAGACATTTAGTTTGAATCAAGTCTGCTTTCGTGGACGACGGCAGAAACGGAACAATAGTGACTGCGGAGAAACCGCATTTCCGAGCATTTGGACGATTTTAAGCAAACCTTCGACAAGTCTCCAAAAAGGTTATGAATTTGGTCATCGGTGAGTTCTCGATTAATCATTGAGCCTGAACACATTTTGGGATTTGTATTCACTCGTGAGCAGCGTTTGAGAGTGAAACCGAAAAGGTGAACACACACAAAAAAAAAAAAGCCCCAAAAACGACGACGACGGCAGCGTTATCATTCGGTTGCCACCTCACAAAAACGAATGTTCGGCAAAATAGCAACCTTTTTCAAAATGGCTGCCTTCCACACCTTGACGAAGGCGTCCAGTCGGGATGCGCTCAGGCGGCAGGACGTCACTTTCATTGGCCAATTTCGGAACTGCGGGCCCCGTGCGTGTGCGTCGATAACGCAGCGTTCCTCCCAGAATTCCGATTTTTGAGCCAGATGAGTTGCCCCCCGCCAAAGCCCCACAACAACAACCAAAAAAATGTTGTTTTTTTTTGAGGGGGGGTACATTGAATTCTTACTTTAGCTCAGCCCGAAAAGCGCATTTGTGCCCCGATCATTTCTTGTCGCCAATTTGCAGACGCTGCAAGTGGACTTACGTTGCAAGTTGTGCATGTTTCTCTCGCCTTTGCTTCCGAAAAAAGTCGCATTAAGTCCAACTTCAGTTCTTGGGCTCACGTAGCATCGCGTCGCCTCGCGCGTGCGTCCCGTCCTCCCCGCTCAAATCCGGCGAATGGGTCGCGCGCGCGCACCCAACGTCGCGGCGCTAATGACGAGCCTCCCGCGTGGCGCTGCGAGCGGCGCTCTCGCTCTCGCCCTCTTAGTCCCCGCCCTCGCTCTCTATCTCTCGCTGCTGTGTTTGGAGAAGAGGAGGCAGCTTATGATTAACTTGCAAACTTTCAAATATTTGCTGAGCTGGACACTTTGAAAGGGGGGGGTTGGGGGTGGGGGCGGGGGCTCGCAACGGGAGGCGGCTGGGGCCGGACAAGAGGCGCTCTGTGGCAGGGCCGC